ATCTTATCTTATCTAATATAATATAATATAATAAATACGGACCTACAGGGTGTGAATACTTGCACTTTATTTTTTCAACTAAGAGACATTATTTTGTTGAATGTTTTATTTCATTTTGACACAGAACTTTTTTGGGAAATTCTTGTTGAAAAAGCCCAAATAAATTGACCATGACCCAATACTAAATGGCAGTAAAAATGAGAAAGAGTAGATACTTTTTATAGGCACTGTTTACAGATTTTAACAACTGTTGTCAAAGTCCCTAAACAAGTATGTCTGCAGTCACCGCTAAGCTTCAGACTTCTAAGAAACCTGAGATATGTTAACTAAGGAACAAAGTCCATTCACTTGGATATAGGGTTTTACTCATACAACAAAAATGTTTTTTATGTTTAACGTATAACCTGCGCGTATAAGTTGCCCTGTGACATTTATTGCTTCACAGATTCCTTTATCAGATGATCTATTGTATCGTTTAGACCTGCAGCATAACAGTAGTATCAAGTACCAAATCACAAAGGTTTATTAACAGTCAATACATTTGTCTGTATTGATTTGAATCATTAAAATTCATATAAACAGTTAGATAAAATGAAAATCATATTGTAAATATAATAGGACATAACAACATCTTAGAAATAATGGAATCTATCCAATCAGCAGCTCTTTTGCATTTTTCCAAGTTTGTCCAGAATGGTGAATATATTGTTCTGAACAGTCCATAGACCTTTGATTACTGCAAACTGCTGTAATGGTTGTGTGTATTCGTAAAATTCTTTATGTGGTTTTTAAAAGTGCAGGTTAAAAATGAATCTTTTTATACCACCAGCACTGAATGGCGCACAATCTAGTCACCAATACAGCCATCTCCACAATCTTTAGTAAAATATAAGGGTTATAATTGTGGAGTGCCAATGCCATCACATGGATCAACAACTGAAGTACAGTCATCCTCAAATGTATTCATACCCTCCCAGTAAAGAAGGAAAAAAAAAAGCTGTCACTGAAATAAGTTGAAATTGACAAAAGTAATAATACATTTTTAAAAAGTAATGAACATCATGATGACATTGCTTTTGAATGTGGTTCAACAGAATTAAAAAAGGAAAACAACCAACCAAAAAAACATACAAGCAAACAAGCATGATGGGACCCGTAAACTAATATTTTGTTCAACAACCCTTTGAGGCAATCACTGCCGTCAAGTGTTTTCTGTAACTCTCAATCAGACTTCTGCACCTGTTGACAGGTATTTTAGCCCACTGCTCAACTGCTCATCAGCAAAGTGCTCTAATTTGTCTGGGAGAGTTAGTTTTTTTAAATTATTCTTTTCAACCACAATTCAAAAGGCATGTCTTATTTCACTAAATTATAATTTAACAAATCTTTATTTATTATTACTTTTTTCAGTTTCTAGTTATTTGAATGACTGTTGTGAATTTAGGCTTTTCTTTAATGGAAGGGAATACATTTGAGGACATCACGTGGACCTAACATCACAGTAAAGGGCATCACAATGACTGACTCTGTTGCTGAATACTAGGTCTTCATTTGACCACCAGAGGGAGACAGTGACCTTTCCTGTACAGCAATCTCATCTGTGGACAGTGCAACATATCACGTCATTTTTCGCCAGTGACATTTAATTGCACATTTAAACCAACAAAACTGAAGTCAAACATGAGTGTGTTGTGCAGTAAAGCCTCTGACAACACACTGAATGGATTTCATGAATGAACTGCCTAAATAACTAAAAAAAAAATAACAATATGGAAAATGCAAAATGAACAGGCGCACTGAAACAGTCAAGAAACACACGCGACTCAATGTACGAGTTATACAAATACACTGTAAAAAATAATCCCTTAAACCCCGTCAACAAGACTGATAAAGCAAATTGATCAGTTAAAATGACTAGATTCAAGAAAATAATTAAATGAAATATGCCAGTGTTGTGCAGCATATTGTGCAAAGACATGTTTAGGATATCCACGCATTTGATTGGTTTAACAAAACAAGGCAGTGTACAGTTATAGTATTAAAAGGGGTAGTTCGTTCACCATTAAAAGGTTGACTGACAAAAAATGGGGGAATTGTAAAATCCATAGGCAGCCTGCACAACATTATAATTCAATACATAATTCTAACAGAAACCCTATCCAAGGAATACATATATACAGTATACACCTTTAATAAAAAACAATGCTAAAAAAATAACACACTAGTGAGTGCTAGATGTAGTGCAATTTATCTAATCTCCAGTAGCAAATTATTATTATTTTTTTTCAATATCCACCTTAAATCAAATCACATTTAAACACATGCACACACACACACACAGGCACACACGCACACACACACACACACACACATACGTGATAGGTATGAGAAATGTGTTGCTTCCAGGGAGCACTTTAATATAGACACGTATTTGTGAGGACTTAAGAAGAAAAGTCTTGCATCTTTTGCCGCCAAATATTGGACTGAAGGCAAGATCAGTCACAAACAGTGAGAAAGACGAGAACGTATGATCAACCACAAAACAAAACTCTGTTCAAGGGGTCCAGTCGTGGTAAAATCTTGTTTTAAAAAACGTAATTCCAAAAACTGTGTGAATAATATAACTGCAAAAATAAAAAAGTCAATCTCACAATGAATATTTAAAATGAAGAAAAAAAAGTTAAATCTGTTAATTATACAAGATAAATTGCATGTTTAAACATTGAATATCAGAAAATAGTTCCTCCTGAATAAAACCTTCACAATATTCTGAACACACAAAGCACAGAAATAAAACAGAAACAACAGTCGAGCTACCAGATCGCCCTGGCAGAAAAATATATTTATAATGTTTCATTCCGGGAAGGAAACATGCATTATCTAGTAGATGTCCACACTGGCTGCATCTGTGATGATGCACAAAGAGAAAGGCAAGTGAATATTCACTTCAACTCAATAAACGTTATGGGTCAGATGGCAAAACACAGTGAAGTCACCAACAGTTACACTCACACAACGTTTTTCCTGTCACTGCGACAGTCAGGAGCAAATCAATTATGTTTCTAACTTAGCTTGACCTGACCTGATTTGTGCTGGCTGCCATTTGACCAACCAATAAAATATTAAAATGCACCCATTATTTACCCACATTGCTTAAAAGAAAATTCTCAGTTGATACTGACATGGATAAACAAAAGCCAGAATCACGTCGCTTTTGGCTGCAGTTTAACTTTGAGTGCAGTTTTGAGATAATGTCCATTGAGCCTCCCAAAATATACAAAATATATAATTGTAGGGGGAAAAAATGTGGATGGAGGCTGAACATAGTCAACAGTGAGCACGGATAGAAGGGAGCACATGTGTGCAAGCACTGATGCAAGAAGAACAGAGGAAGAGTAGGTGTCCAGTCACTGTCCTCGCTTCCCTGGAAGTATTTCAGACATATCAGTGGTGAATGACTAAAGGCGACGGGGGGAGGGAAGACAAAATTTTAATTCTGTGGCAATACTTAAGCCTGCCCCAAAAACCTTGAATGGCCTCCTTTCTCTTCTCCGACACTCCTTTCCACTCAGGACTGCTGACAGTCAAACAGGGCTGGTTTTGGTCGTTGACGTCACGCTGCGTTCACTGTACATCACATCCAATTTCACTTCAGTAGCCACGAGGGAAAGGCAGCAAGGCTTTTTAAAGAGGTTGAAACGCACCCAAGTACAGAAGGGAGACTGCGCTGTGGTTGCCATAGCGATGACTTCCTGATGGCGGGATGGTGGCAGTAGAGGATTTTGCTTTATCTGTTCATAGTCACTAGATGCAATTGACCAGTCAGAGGCTTAGCATTCAGGGATCAGATAGGGAAAAACAGGCTGTTGGAGTCCATAAATATGTGATGGCAGCTAGCTGCCCTCAGCTTCAGTCTCCTCTTCTTTAGCAGGAGAGTCCTGGCTTTTCTCAGCATCTTCTCCCTCATCGCCTGGCAGAGAGTGAGAAAGAGGGACAGACAGTTTCATGCATAAGTTACTACTTGTTAAGTCAGTGACTCAAATGAGGTTGAATCAGCAAGAAAGCTACCGAGATAGAACCGGGGAGGAATCAACTCATAACAGCTCAGTATATGTGGAGTAGACCAAAGGAAGTCATATTGTATAGACATTCCCAAAACATACTGATCCTTGCTTCTTTTTTGGAAGAAAAAAATAGAGCTGAGATGCACTGATCCCTTACAGAAGACATAGTAAAATAATCTTTTGAACCTAAGTCTTAAAAGCACATCTAGTCCTTTTCCACTATCACAAGTGCAGAGTACACCACATGCAAATATGTAAATATTAAAGAATCTAATTTACGTTAAGAGCAGAGAAATTGAGAGAAGAGTGCAACATTTTCTTTTGTGGTGCAAGTTATTTTTTGTATCTATGAAATACCAATTCACTATATACAAAAAATGATGGTGATGGACTTTCAAAAAACACTGTGAACTGTCAACACAAACTCCACACTCTGATGGATCCAACTGAATCCCATTTTGCAATTTTAAGCGATTACAACATTAACCACCCTTCATAATCACATCGAGTTGTTTAAAGAAAAGTTCCATTTAAATTGCTGATCAAGGCCACCATCAAATTATGCGTCATATAAGCCATGATGCTCCTCACCTGGCTGGTTGATGTTGAGCTGTGCCAGACTCTGTGACAGGTCAGTGGGTCCCTGCGCTCCAGTGGCTGCTGGGAGGTCGTGGATGGCATTCCTTCGGCCAGATCGTCGAGAAGCGATGAAGTCCTCATAGGTCGCTTCCACATCCGTCATCGCTGAGACACCTCACCATAGCATGGCCTGGTATAGCACACACTTACAGGTGCACAAAGACGTACACACACACACACTAACATAAGTCAACATGCACTACGTTCACAGAAAGACTGTCAAAATGTCGAGAATTCGTGCAACTTCTCCCAAGTAGCTCTGCAAAATGGACGCATCAGCAGTTTCTGTTGTCGAGAAGAAATAGACACAGTGGGCTACCCGTGCACTCATTCAATACATGCCTGACCTAATCCCTGATTAATCTATTTTAATCTCAGTCTGGGGTACCAGTGACACAGCGGAGACAAATTCTAGAAATGTTAGAAGGAATACTGAAGAGACAAACATGAGCTTGAAAAAATGCACATTCAAAGAGGCAATACTGGCAGAAAGGAGGAAACTACTGTAATCTTGCTTGGAGTAAACGTGGACCACATTGGGAGATGCGTTGCTATGGAGATTTAGGTTAAACCCCTCTGTTGACATGTAAACACTTAGTATCAATCTGTCTGGGTGAGGCTGCCCTTAAACACTGAGCAGGTTCGGGCTTTGTTGTCTTTGTTGTCCTATTTCCACCAATTAAAATCTGTCATTCTGACTTTTTTAATTTACTGTTTCATTTTTTAATTTCTGCATTTAAACACTTCCAAAACTTGGACTCAAACAAAAAAAAAAGAGAGAGAGAAAAAGTTTTTTTGAGGCATCACGTGTATTTCATCACAAAATCATTTGGTTTTTACTCCGGCCTAAATCCAGGGTTTTTTAACTAATAGGAAAATTACAAACATGACCTCAGCCCCCACATCCATTTGTGGCTATTTGCAGAGCTGTGCAAGCTGCGATTGACCATGGGCTATTTTTGGACGCCTCCTCTGTCATCTTTTGAGCACACGCCCACTCAGCTGTCATTCTCCAAATGGTGTCAAGACGGGCAAGACCCAACAGATGTTGTCAGTGTACAACTGCCAGACTGAGCATGGGGCAGCTAGAGAAATACAATCACTATTCTGCAATAAAAAGAGAGAAAATGAGTGCCCTGTATATTGCTCAGAGTCAAACACTGGTGTTGACTCAGTAATGATAGTGTAGTGCAGGTTAGTGCGAGATCTGCATGATAACGACCGTATATAAGCAGACCTTTCCGTAACTGCCTTGCAGCTCTCTCAGTAAAATAATTATTTTTGTTTAGAAAATAAATGGATGCCTGCAGTGTTAAAGGTCGAACACCAAAATCTGGATGGAGAAAGTGCGCTATATTCAGCATAAAACATATGATGTTAACAGCTGTCTTAGTTTTTTGGGGGGGGTGAAATAAATGAGACCATATAATCTTTTATATGGAACACTAACTATAAAATAGTTCAGCCACCAATCAACATAAGTTAATAACATTTTAAGTGTATTGTATGCTACTGCAGGCGAATGTAGATATTTTGAACGGAAGGTGAGTTTTGATTTGTAGCTGAAAGTGACAGAACATTCTTGGTATGTGTTTCCTATGCTCATATTCTATGAAATATTAATCGGCAGTTTACATAATTTAGCCACACTGTTGCACCCATGAAGAAGAACATTAGCAGTTCAGCTCTGTGTGTGTGTGTGTGTGTGTGTATGTGTGTGTGTGTGTGTGTGTGTGTTGTCTCTTGCAGTAACGTGCCCCTGCGGTCCTTATGGCTTTACTCCCATGTGGGAACAAGAGCTCAGCTGGCCTGGACACCAATATATCTAGAACAGACTCCAAACAAATGATCAAATTACTGAATAATACAACAGGCCAATGCGCTCTGCTTTCTCTGTCACTGACTGGGGGGGGGAAAAATGGCAGCTCCTGTTTTGCAGCCATTTGATTTGTTAAGCTGCCAAATAGAAAATTAGCAGAGTGTAGCAGTGATGAGGAATGGAGTCCCAGAAACTTATACCAGACTTATTCTAGGTGGCATGGGCATTACTGGGACCGATGCCCAGCACTCTCACTCTCTTTTTTTCTCTAAGGCACACAAGTATGCTCCTACACTGTCATGTAGAAAAGTAAATAAATAAATAAAAATCACCAGTAGTCTTTCAACAGTTGTGCTATTTCTGTAGCAAATTACGACACTGGTTAAGTCATTTATTATTAAATGCATCTGGTGAACTGGTTAACATCTGCCATTATTTTGTAGGAGTTTCCATTAGTGTCATGAAAACATTTATTAGACTGTGTCCTAAATTAATTTTGTCCTCCAAAACTGATCACCCACTATGGAGTAAGTGGAGGCACTGCAGCATCACCATGGTGCGTACTGGATATAATAAAGCACTTACTTGGTATAACCTTTATATATAGACATGCCAGCCACGGTGCAGGAGAATCATCATGCTCTACCTGATAATAACAAATCAACAGCCATATGTGTTTCCTCTGATGACAAAGACCCCCCACAGAGCTCATTCAGCGCCAGTAAACGCAGCCTGCATAATATGATGTGAACGTTACACATGCGACTACGAGGTAAACACACTGTGCACCTGCAGCTGTTATTATTATTATGATCAATAAGGTACCTGTTTGGGCTAAAGGGCTTCCGAATATTCGCAGGGGTCAATCACATCAGCTTGAATCTTGCCACTTCGGTATTCCCCATTTCGCTCCTGAAAGAGGATTTACCAACGTCAAGCTAGCGACAGTACAAAACCACTTCAAGGAAGACATTTCAAAATAAAGCTCCTATTTGTGAAGCGTGTTACAATCCGGTGGAATTAAATGTTTGCATCGCTGGTGCTGAGAATTTCCATTGATTTATTTATTCTAAGCAAATATATTGTAATATAAATCAAATAGCTAGTGGTACTTACAGGACGTGCAGTGTGGGTAGAAAAAGAAAACAGACAAAATATAATCAGTATATGATTAAACAAGAGTCTACAGTCTGAACAAGCGCTTGTAGATGTGTGGTGAGAATGTGTGGGATCTGCAAAAGCAAGTTTGCATAATGAAATCATTACCTTTTTTATTTTTTTTTTAACTTTACTTTTTATGCCTAAAAATGTAATGTTACAGTTCAGGTTCAGATCCCTCTCTGGTCCCTGATTAAACTACCCAAAAGTTTATTTAATCATTTATTTTTTCATGGAAAAAAATCACTTCCTTTAAAACACACCTTGACTCTGCATCATTGTTTCCACGAGAGAGCTACAGCTAAGTCACAAGTATAGACAAACACAATGTGCTCAACATAATTATAATATTTAATACAATTATAATATTTCATGTCTTTATTGAACACATCCATTAAACACTCATAGTGCTTGTGGAAAAAGTTAGTGAACCCTTGGGCTAACGACTCCAGCAAGAGCTAATTGGAGTCATGTGTTTGCAAACCTGGAGTCCAATCAATGAAACGACATTTGACTGAGATGTAGAGCTACTGTGACCTATGAAAAGCACTCAAACTTTTTGAGTTTGCTATCTACAGGAAGCATCTGCTGATGTGAACCATGCCTCGCAAAAAAGAGATCTCCGAAGACCTACGATCAAGAATTGTTGATTTGCACAAGACCGGAAGTGGCTACAAAGTCATCCCAAAGACTTTAGGAATTCACCAGTCCACAGTTAGACAAACTGTCTCCAAATGGAGACGATTCAGCACTGTGGCTACTCTCCCCACAAGTGGGCGCCCAGCCAAATGGATTCCAAGGGCACAACGCAGAATGCTCAGCGAAGTAAAAACAAATCCTAGAGTAACACCTAAAGACTTGAAGGAATCATTGGAACTGGTTAACTTCTCTGTTCATGAGTCTACCATACGCAAAAGATTGAACAGGCATGGGCTCCATGGCAGGACACCACGGAGGAAGCCACTGCTTTCCAGAAAAAACATCACTGTACGCCTAAAGTTTGCCAAAGAGCATCTTGACACTCCACAATGCTACTAGGAAAATGTTTTGTGGATTGATGAAACAAAAATTGAATTGTTTGGGAAGAACACGCAGCACTACGTATGGCGTAAGAAAGGCACCGCATTTCAACATGAGAACATCATCCCAACGGTGAAATACGGTGGAGGGCGCATCATGACTTGGGGCTGCTTTGCTGCCTCAGGGCCTGGACCACTTGCCATCATCGAAGGGAAAATGAATTCTCAAGTTTATCAAGGTATCCTACAGGATAATGTCAGGGTGGCTGTCTGTCAGCTGAAGCTCAGTAGAAGTTGAGTGATGCAGCAGGACAATGACCCTAAACAGAAGTAAATCTTCAACAGAATGGCTTCAAAAAAAGAAAATCCACCTTTTGGAGTGGCCCAGTCAGAGCCCAGACCTGAACCCAATAGAGATGCTGTGGAATGACCTGAAGAGAGCCATTCACAGCAGACATTCGAAAAATATGGCTGAGCTGAAGTAGTTCTGTTTGGAAGAATGGTCTAAAATTCCTTCTGAACGTTGTGCAGGTCTGATCAGCAGCTATAGGAAGCGTTTAGTTGAAGTTATTGCTGCCAAAGCAGGTTCGACCAGTTATTAAATCCAAGGGTTCACAAGGGTTGTTATTTGTTCAATAAAAACATCCATCCATCCATTATATATACACCGCTTAATCCTCACTAGGGTCGCGGGGGGGGCTGGAGTCTATCCCAGCTGACTTAGGGTGAAGGCAGGAGACACCCTGGACAGGTCGCCAGTCTATCACAGGGCTACACTTAGAGACAGACAACCAAGCACACTCACATTCACACCTACGGACAATTTAGAATCACCAATTAACCTCAACATGTTTTTGGACTGTGGGAGGAAGCCGGAGAACCTGGAGAGAACCCACGCTGCACGCAAACTCCGAAAGACCTTCTTGTTGCAAGGCAACAGTGCTACCAACTGCGCCACCTTGCAGCCCTCGATAAAAACATGAAATATTATAATTGTTTGTGTGGTATTATGTTGAGCACATTGTGTTTGTCTATACTTGTGACTTAGATGTAGATCAGATCACATTTTATGAACAATTAATGCAGAAAACTAGGAAATTTCAGAGGGTTCATATACTTTTTCTTGCCACTGTAGACGGATAGTGATGAAGAAAGATATTTTCTCCTATTTTAATGATGATTAAGAAAGTCATTCTCTTTTTTGATGGTCACCAGACCCTTGATTCCACCCCCTGTTGCCATGTGTTTTCCCATCACCTTTCGTCATGTGTTTTCCTATCTCCTGTCACAGACCCCCGATTCCGCCCCCTGTTGTTCATTGCCCCCTTACCTCCTGCTATTTGATTAGCAACCGTATGTTAACTAACCACTATTTGCTTCTGTATTTACACACAGGCCCCCCCACCCTCAGACATGTGTGACTCTGCAGATGTTCGGAGTCGGTTTACCATCACAGACTCATGTTCTGTGTTTTGCTAAGCCCACTGTATACCGGAATACTACTAAACAGCCACTACAGCAAACTTCACATGAGGACTATGCGTAAAATTTCTTCAACGATAGATGTTGGAGGTGGACAGCCTGAGGTAAGAAGGTCCTCCTCATCCTCTCTGTGGCTCAGTCTGTGGCTGGGGTGGGTGGGCTCACACCCAGTCTTCCTGGCCTTTAACCTGCATCGTTTGTGTGTAAATGTGTAAATTCCTGAGCAACTTGAGAGGGAGCTTGAAGTCCCTCAGGTGTCTGAGGTGGTGGAGATGCTGTCGAGCTTTCTTCACCAGAGTATTGATGTGACGGGACTATGTCAGGTCCTGCGGCATGTTGACACCCAGGTACAGTCCACTCTCTCCACCTCTGTCCCGCTCATTTTGAGTGGGTGGTATGCCCTCTGCTGCTTCTTGCTGTAGTCCACGATCAGCTATTGAGAGCCTCACTGTGTAAGCTGACAGAACTGGCTCCTTGCCCTGGTTATGTATGAAATCCTGGTTGTTATCTTTACACTGCAGCTTTAAGGCAGGTTGACTGTTACTGCGCCGTTGACAATGTGTCTTCCAGCATATAAATATGCTATTTGAACATGTTAACAAGGTAAAAGGAAAAAAAAACAACAACTCTATTTTCACTGTAGGGAGTCTCAAAGGTTCGGATAATGGTTAGGGTTAGGCCAGAAATTGTTAAGGTTAGGGTTGGGGTAAGTCCTCAGTATGTATTAGGTAGTATTAATTGTAGCCCTCAAATTGATATAAGTCAATTGTCCCTCGAAGTGATAGAATCACAATTGTGTGTGTGTGTGTGTGTGTGTGTGTGTGTGTGTGTGTAAGCGAGACAGAGAGGGATCACAGAGAGGAGAGTCACTGTGACAACAGCGATCTTGTTGTGATGAAGGCAGATGCAGCCATTCAATAATGTGTTTCCCATGGTCTCATAGCGCCTGTCTATGAATACTCCATTCACATGACAAGCGTTCTCAATATGGGAAACTGAGAACCTCCGAGTGGTTGCTCTGGCCATGTGGTTGAGCCAACAAAGGGAGCACACTAGTTTGGTTGTTACAATGACAGTCATCTTTAAATGGGGTCTGTCAAGGGTGAAAGGCAAAGTAAGGCCAGCAATTTTTAAAAATGACCTGACTTTGTCTTTTGAAAATGAAATAAAGAGTATAGACACAGACAAAACATTCAAAGATAATCATAACATTAGTAAAGTCATACAAGTATGTATAATTTTATGTATGAAACCATACAGCTGTGTTTTGAATTTGGTTAAGATGTCCATGTCTTTGTAAAAATCATACATTCATGTGATAAATCAGCCTCATCAAGGCCAGAGACCCCCAAACCCCACCATCGACACTGAATCAATGCATTATATTAATGCACAGCTTATAAATAGGATTATTATTTGCCTTTTGTACATTTTAAGTTGTTTACACTACACATTTTGAGATGTTACACATTCTCAGGCACATTTGCACATTCCTGCATTATCTGGCTGTCTCACTTAAATAACATAATAACTATGTTTATGACTTTTATAATTGCATTGATTACTTGTACCATTTTCTTCTTATGCCCACTTGTACTGTTTATTTAACTTGCAGCACTTGCTTTTTTTTTCATAGATTTCACCCTTTTTTTTTTTTTTTTTTTTAGAAAAAAATGTTCTCCTTGCCTGTGTTTATTGTTATACCCCCAAAACAGCGAGTCAAATCCTTCAAAAGTGAAACAAAAAAGAGGAGCTACTTTAATTCCATATTTGGGAATTTGCTGGGAAAATGACAGTGGAGGTTGCCTCCCACGCCCCACCTGCTGTCCAAAGTACACGCTGCATGAACTCGAAACGTTCAGTAACAGCCAATGAAATACTCGGATATTAGCACGTGGAGCGGCATCCGACAGTCCAGTTGCTATTGGTAGCCAAAGATCAGTAAAGTCAAGATAATTCACGTTCAATTGCAGCCTACGAAAACCACTATTGTACACACAATTTGAACAAAAGACAAAGAAAAAATAATGAGCTACTTTAATTCCAGTGTTTAGCTGAAAAAAGGATAAAGGTGCAATTTCTTTAATAGCTCACGTAATACAGCCCACTCTTTGTTTTCCAAGACATAACCCACTAACGTCTAAAAAAAACATAATATAGGATATGTCGATACAGCAACGCCGTCATTGATTTACAACTATCGTACTTGTTATTTTATTTGTAGCTTATAGTAATTTTCGGGGTGAAAAATTAGGAAAAACCGAGAATTTGAAACCGTCTCCGCTGATTTAACAAAGTCGAAAGCGAGCAGGGGTGATTCATCTTGTTTCCAGTGTTTGGCCGTGTGTGACAACGGCAGCAGCATCAGACAAGGGATAACCTAATGATGGAAGAATTTGAAGGTGAGCAAAATTGCCGTCCGAGTGTTTATTTTGGCTGTTTTGTGCCAAAGTCGAGCTGCCAACCTCCCCGTTTTTACACTCCCAAGCTATCCTTGCTGCTTTAGCACAGCACTCTTTGATAGCGACCTCTTTTTTTAATGTTTGTTTGGGATTTAGCCCAAGTAATGCTAGGTAACGTCAGGGCCAAAGATGAAGCTAGCTGCTGACTGGTCTCTGAATGGGTGTGATCCCTAGCTAAAGAAGCTACCCAGTGTTAGCATGCCGCTAACTAATGAACATTTAGCTGAATGAACTGAGTTGCGTTTTGCAAGGAGCCGTCAGAGATTTTGCTTCTTTCGTTACACTGACGACACAAATGCTGCAGTTGAATCGGTGCCGTCTCTACTTTTAGCCGTTTTTCTAGCATTTGGAAATGATTTGTGAATCCGTGTAGAATTAACCAATAACGAAAGCAATAGTGAGACATTGCAGTTGGATAATTGCGCTAACAACAGTCCATAAAATACAATTCATGAGCGCAGAAGCATTGTCAGTGTGAGCCATGCACCAAATATCAAATGGGTCATAAAGAACAAACAAACAAAAACGTGATTTTCTATTTGTGACCGTTTTTCTTTTTTATCTGCAAGCTATAGGTCACATGTGGTCTAATTGTGTTTCCATAACATTTTAAACTTCCTCGCTATAATCAGATTTTAATGTGTTATTCTTACAGACGGTGACGCTCCTTCTGCTGAGGATCTGGTTCAATGTAACACCTGCAAAAGATGTTTCTTCCCTAAAGTCCTGGTAAACAAACACTCTTTGGTCATCTGTAACATTCAAGAAAAGTTCAGTGCTGTAAGGGCAGACACATAGGACTCAGTTCAGCGAAACTTTGAGACATCCATATGTTTTGGCGAAAATAAAAATGATTTTCATGCACTAAGACACCCTCGAGGTGCTTGAATCACAGTATTTTCCACAGCTGTTATCAGCTGACAGGATATCAGCTGTTTGGATAATAGTGTGTCTCTGGCTATGATCCAAATAGCCAGCAGGGCCCTGTGAGGAGCTCTTTAAACAGAAGATGAAGGTTTTAACGCAGCAGTAAAAGTAGTTATTCAAGCAAATGAGTGAAATTTAAGACTGCATGAGTTAAAACCCACAACTGAGAAACTACTATCCTCCTATTATTGTCGTATTAATGTCTAGGGAACGTGCAACATCAGTTGGAATGGAATTTGTTGACAAGGAATCAGAAAGACAAACAAATGCAGATGTGTATATTTGCAACTATTTTCCTCTTAATGAGATTTCTGCACTCTTCAGACTACTGACATCATATTTTTTGTGACTGAGATAATATTATGTAAAGCATTTTAATCATACGACCAGCTTTATTGCAGTTATGCAACTAAATAAAGACAATTGTGATAAATATTTTATCACCAGTGTATTTTTCTGTTAGTAATGTTCTGTTAATGTTTCTGTTATGTTCTGTTTATAATAATTACTGTTTTATCAGGACAAAAACAACACAGACTTTTACCACATCGAAGCCACAATGATTACGTTATGTTATTGAGACATATTCTTCCTGGTAATGCAAATACGCAAAATCGTGCACTTATACAAGCACTCAGCCTCAGTAATGGCTGCATCAGTGCGTGATGTATTGTTATTTTATAATTGTGCAGGGATATAAGCTTGCATCTACATCAGGAAGATATTAGGAGGTTTGAAGAGTTGAATGCAGCTTTCAGCAGGTTACTGATGCCATCAATGTTACACAAACAACTCTGTAGCCTTATTTGAAAGAAATGTTCAGTCACAGAGTTCATGCTCATCTTGCTTGCGGAACACTTGACAATAGTGGATTCACTTATGGAGTGTTTATTGTGCATTTTTTTCACTCCCCACAGGAGAAGCATGCTAAAATCTGCCAAAAGTCAACATCTAAAAGAAGAAAGGTTTTTGACTCCAGTAGACAGAGAGCTGAGGGAACAGACATCCCCACGCTGAAACCCATCAAACCAAAGGTAAGCCGTCACCTGACAAGAGGGTTGGAAATCCAACACAAGATTCCCAAGAGGGCTCAATGACATTATTAATGGGAAGAAAACATGGTCCAAGTTGTACATCTCCACCTGTTGGAAAACTGCAATAATTGTGCATTTTGTTGAAAACATTGCTCACATTAAATTGTCTACAAATAGATGTTAATAACTGAATTCATTTCTCAGTTCATTGTTCAGTTCATCAACATTCATAGTACAAATTATGAGTCTATCTTCAATCTCAGGTTATTTATTTAACCCTCTAATACACATTCATGTTTTGGATGGCCGTAGTTTAGAAATATTACATGTCAAAAGTGAAGAAGCTGTAGAGTTTAAGACCATACATGGTGGCGAACAACGCATATTTGAATATTTACTGTTCCGTGTAGGACATTCAGTATTTTGTGTTGACAGTTTATTTTCACATGTAAACCACTTTTGTATTTCAGTCACAAAGTTCAGCTGCTGCTGAGAAAGTAAGTTGATTTGTTATTTTTTAATTTGTGCTTCTTTTGCATACACATGATTTTTTTCTAATGAAGCCTAGGAGGAAATTCTGGCTTCATAAATGTTGGATTTCCTTGCTTTGAAACATTGACTTAAATAGCCTGGAAGCATGTCAACTCATGCTGGTGGTGTTATATTAGAAAGAAAATATCACTAGCGTTTTCCTTTCCTTCCTACATTCTTTAAGCAACAATATTCAGATGTATCTGATTAGGAGTTTTTTTCTTTTCTTTTCTTTTTTTTTACCATGACTGTCTTTATTGTATCTGTTCTTGCCGCTCTTTTGCAGTCACTTTGAACCTCCCCTAGATTCAGATTAATCTTTGACGACTCACCTTAAAACTGCAGTGCTTGGTCGATGGCTTTGCTTATTATAGAAACTGTCGTGAAGTCTCAAGGTCTGTAATGAGGTCACTCTGAGTAACCAAGACTTGCTAATTCCTTTGTACCCAGTTTGCAATCCGTTGCCTGGCAGCTGTTAAGTTTTGTCTCTGCAAAATAAACGTATATTTCTGTCATCTTGACTTCAACTAACTGCTCTGTGCTCACTCTGTCCTCCTACTGGAATAACAGCATTGACATCTTAGTGATACAAATACAAAAACCTATACTTGTTAAATGATTCTCTTGGTATCTCGAAATGAGGATTATATTGTAAAAGTTGCAGGGAACAAAGGAAACATTGGTCTCTCTTTTTTTCCCAAAATCATCTGTGTTTTTTAGACAAACATGCTTAATGAACTTGGAAGACTGTAACTGAATAGGAGGAAGTCAGTTGGGCTATCATGTTGCTGCAGAAGCAGCTCAGACGGCGCTCGGTGAACTGCTTCTGTCAGTAATCATCAGCTGTAGATAACATACAGACTGCCACTATGGAAATGTCTTCTTTTGTTTTTACTTGTGCTCAGAGTAGGAAGCATGAGCAATACTTTCAGTAAAAACACTACAGAACTATTTCCAGGCTGAGATACAAGAACCTAATCATTAAAATGTACCCATGAACCTGTGATTTTTACCCATGAACCTATCTAGATTGTTTAAAATGGAACCATAAACTGTGACTGTAACAACAAACTGGTCTAACCGAGGATTTCTTCTGTGATGTTGTTGTCCTGCCAGGCAGAACCCCCGAAAAAGCAATCCAACTGGCGCAGGAAACATGAGGACTTCATCGCCACCATTCGGGCTGCCAAGTCCCTCACTCAGGTCATTAAGGATGGGGGGCCGTTACCCCCACCTCCTCCTCCTACCTATGACCCAGGTAGCACATAGTTCTTTACTGATTTGAATTAAGCAAGAAAGACTGACAGTTTTAGAAGCTCTTTTTAAGTTTGAACAAAACAGCTGCCTACAAGGGTTCATGATTTGTTTCTTGACTCTTAATATGTTTACGGGTGATAATAATTTTTTGAAAAGGTAAAGAGGGCGAACGTAGAAAACATTTCTGGCAAAATTGTAGATGTTGGCTGAAGATGGTTGCAAAAAGTACAGGCCGCATCTTCTCACACGGCAGTACTTACAGCTGTCTCTGTATGCAGGATTTGTGTTTCTGTAGCTGATTTACTAAAGACATGGGTATATTTTCCTGCCACCTGGTTTGTCTTTAGACTATATCCAGTGTCCTTACTGTCAGCGGAGGTTCAATGAGAGTGCAGCTGACAGACACATCAAGTTCTGCCAGGAGCAGGCTGCCCGCATTCCCAACAAAAGCAAGCTAGGAGATGCCAAGAAGCCTCCTGGTCGCACACAGGTACATGCATGCACAGACAGCACAGGTCTTTTTGTTGGAGAATGACACACATGTCCAGTTTTACAACAATTACATTGTTTTAAAACCTAAAACACTGATGCTCTGCCAAAGTTAGTAATATATGAATGTGTTTGTGTGAATAGCTATGCCACCACTCTTTCTCAAATACTTGGCCAGGCAATTCTCAGTTCTGTGTTATTGCCAATTATTTATAATGAAGAAATGTACTTTGTAAATCCCTAACAAATCTGTGTCTTTTATAGCCATGGTGAGACTCCCACTTTGCAGCAAATGTAGAATCACTAGTCACTTAGCAACAGCTATGGTGGGGGGAGTTAGTTTGGTAGCCAATAAAAACTCAACAGTCTAAACCATTTTGGTTTAGAGCTAGGCTTGATGAGAGAAAACCCTGACCATTAATCATTATGTCGATTAGGTCTCCCAGTGTGGCACGTTTTCTTGCTTCTGTACCAACAGCAGGTGTCACCAGAAGCATAATGTTTTTGAATTGTCCATCTGCCCTTACGTACGTCTGTATGTACTGTTCTCTTTAATGTGGTGTCTCCTGAAGACCTTAAAGGAATTTCTTCAAATTTGGCACCGCTGTTTACTTGAACTCATAAAAGAACACATTAGAATTTGGTCTCCAAAGGTAAAATGTCACTCTCACCTCACAAAACACAATTTTTGACCATAATGCAAAAAAATGACAACATTTGTCACAAATATCTAATTGGATGAAATGATGAGTTGCTGACAATTTATATCCAAATTTCAAAGGTCAAGTCTGGACAGTCATGGGTGAAAACTGCAACTTGACAGGTTGATGAGTGCATGCAATTAGCAGGTGATAATTCTAGTTATAATTGTTATGAATCTGTGAAGCCTCCGTTTTCCTGGTTTGTAGCTATTTAAGATTTTCTCCTAGACAGCAGTTTAAAACATTTCAGATAGCCAAGCTATCACACAAGCCACATATTTAAGGTTTTACAGTGCATAGCAAATCCTAACACACACATACACCTGCCAACCATTCTTCATGTGTGGCTTCATCTTTGCTATGGTCTGTGCCTGCTGTTGAAGAAATTTTACCCATAGTCCTCATCTGAAGTTTGCTTTAGTGGGTGTTTAGTAGTATTCTGGTATATGGTGGGCTTACCAACACATAGCATGAGTCTGTGATGGTAAACCGACCCATCAATAATCAATGACAGAAGATAAGAGAACAATGAACAAAAGGTGGTGGAATCGGGGGTCCGTGACAGGAGGTAGGAGAACACATGACAAAAGGTGATGGAATCAAAGGGTCTGGTGACTATTAAAAGAAAAGACAATGACTTTCTTCATCACCGCTTAACAAGATTACGACGTCATGATACATTACCAATGTGCTTTTGGTTTAGAATAATTATGTTAGTGCTTTGCACCTGTAACATTCATAGCTAGTGCTCTACACCAGTAGTCACCAGCCACTGGGCCACAGACCAGTGCTGGGCTACACAGAATAAAAACTACTACTAAACTTTTTTATTTTATTATAAAATATTTTCTTTTATCTTTTATTTTGAAAAATGACTAGCTCGTCTTCGTGTCACTTCTGCCTCTGCTTGCTTCTCGCACTTGGCTCTAGTTTTCATGCCCAACCGTTAAACAGAGCCATCATTCTACCTGCTGCCAAAATGAATTAAAACCAAACTTCTTTGGAGAGCTTCTTTGAAAAGAGGGAGAGACTCGATGCTGAGACAGAACAAAAAGTAAATACATATTTAGTAATAAAAAGTCATTTTATTAGTTTACGACACTTTAAATAAAAAAAATGTATATTATTTGCAATGTGCACGATGACTGGTCCATGGAAAATTGGTTGAAACCGGTCCGTGTCGCAAAAAAAAGATAGGAACCACTGTTCTATACCACATATTTATCTTTTGTTTCCTTCTCTTTGACGTCAGTACAAGCCTACTGCTCCTGTCAAGAAGGCCAACTCTCCCGCTGTGTCAACCCTCCCTTCGGCCTCCTCTCGTTTACCCCAGAGATCAGGCCTTGGACAGCCCACTGGTAAGACAGCACAGCTGTGTTCTTCTGTCGTCATGGGGTGTTGTGTTCACACCTGACAATTGTGTATATTTGTGTCAGATTTTCAAATAGACTGAACCTAAATTTATTACATTAACTACAGTAATACACATACTGTGCTGTATTGTTCATCTTATTATTTATCTCACTTCCTCTCTCACTCCAGGAATCCCTTCTAGTAAGGTCTCCTCTGCAGGTTCAGTGAGGAGTAATCCCTCTGGCCTCACCAGTCCACCATCAGGGTTAGTGCACACATACATGTGTATCAATATTGGCAGTTAGCCCAAACACAAAAAAAGATATTGCTCAATTGATATTGGTGTGTCAAAGATACTATAAGCATTTTACCTTTGTCTATGCATGTAGTCATGTCTATTCAAGGACCTTTTGCTTTAGTAAATCTATGTACATGTGTTTACTGGCCAGATTATTTTAGTTCTGTCTCTTATTTTTAAGCACAACTTAGTTAAAAAACAAACAAACAAACAAACAAACAAACAAAATGTAGTATTGGCACTAAAAATACAGTGAGGCAATAAATCACTTGAAATACGAAAGAATTTCTTTTCCCTTTTTCACTTTATGTCTTCAGCATGTTGCACCACACTGTCTACACTGTGTCTAGACAGGAACATTTATTCACAACAACTCAACAGCAAAAGATGTTTCAAGCTTTATCATTTCACTTGGCTCCATGTGTGATTGAAGAAACATTACATTTCTTTTTGTATTGCACATGGTTCTTTAAAAATCTACACCTTGCTCATGTAATATCCCTAGGCCATTACTTTTGTGTGTTCTACCAACAACATGTAATTACAATCTCTTGATGGATTCATAAGCCTGAAAAATGTCACTACGTCCGTGCCAGGTCAAATGTTTTGAAATTGAGGTTTATCTTTACAAACCTAATGTTTGAACTGGTTTGCATTTAAAACACTTTTATCTCTGTTCTGTCTTGTTTTTTTATTTTTTTCCTGATTCCTCTGTTAGTGTGGGAAGTAAGGCCCGAGCAGTGAGCTCTGGCTATGGCTCTGTGAGGAACACTCAGCCTGGAGTAGGACTCAACAAGAAGAAAGTAGACACCTACATATCAAGGTAAATCAACTCCCAAACACAGGAGCTCCACAGAAAGTCGCACGACTTGGTGACCTATCCTGACCTCTTGTGGGTTAGTGGTGTATTGCAGACACACAGTTCACTTCTACTATACAGTTCAAATTTAATTAGATTGTAATGTAGTTTTTAAGTTCACATTCAATTAAGGTAATTAAGTTTAATTATGCCTCTATGGCTTGCACAATTATGATGATTTAGTTGAACATACAGCTAGAGGTTCAGATTGCATAGGTTATAGCAATAGCATGGAGGCAAAATGTCTGTTTAATCAAATTAAGACAAAATATTTGGTTTCACAATTCGCTATCTGACGTGCATACTACTTTATCAATACTACTACTGTATTTTTTTTAAAAACTAAAGCATTTACTTCATGTGCTTTAAGGTTATGTTTGTATGTTTTATCACTGTCTACCTCACGTTGACCTAAATGTTGCTCTCTAAAACTAAATGTTTTAAACTCCTTAAATAATAATGCACTAAAATGTCACTGCTAACAACTTTGCATACATATATTCTCAACTTCCTGCTTTGCTGTCTTTGTCGTACAGAAACGATGTTGATAGTGGAAATGAAGTCGGCAACGGTGGAATGAAAAGCAAGTTCTGTCACGCTTGTGGGACCAAGTACCCCGTTGAATCCGCCAAATTCTGCTGCGAGTGTGGGGTCAGGAGGATGTGTATCTGATTAAAGTCCGAAGAACGGCAAAGTAGAGGAGAATAGGGATGCACCGGTACTCAAGCTAGCGTCAGAGTTTCACCAAGGCTAAGAAGAATTAAAAAAAAAAAAAAAAACCCGTCTGTCTTAATTTTCACTCGTGGGACTAGTTTCCTGGCAGTAAAGTGGTTTAATTATCTAACAACTGTATGGTGCTGAGTTTCGGCGTAATCATGGTTAGTCTTTATTCATGATGGGGGGTAATAATACAAACATAAAAATATAATAACCATAACCTAAAATAAATTGTGCATTTAGTTGCTAAAGGCTGATAAATTGTGGCGGTGAACTGATGCGGTACAAATATAGGTGAAACTGTAAAGGCTCATGATGTCAGTGCTTTATATGACTGATAAAAAATAAATCCATGCAGTTCAGTTTTATTTAGCTTCTCTCTCAGTGCTGGATTGTCTCTCAGCATTGCTGCTTTTTTCCAGCAGCTTACATACATGAACATTACTGCCTTGAAACTAGAGGCCAGAGAGCGTTTGAGAATTTGTAATGACAGAAAAAAGTAGGGGACAACGCAGCCCTGAACAATAATCAGTACTTATAGAGGAGACTCGGTATCAGCATTTAGCAGATATTGGTGCATCTTTAGAAGAGAGTAGAGGGCAGGTGAGTAGGTAAAAACTAAGAAGTGGGTTGTTAAATGTGAAAAAAGGAGGTAAAGGAAAAGTGCTGGGTTACTCATTAGCGGTGATTTTGATTGCCCCTGTATCTAAGTCCCCGGTCAACCTTGAACTGAAATGCATTCCTTAATCCGCTCTGCCTCCGCTTCCTCTCAAACAGAATATGTTCCTTTTAAAGTGCAATATGATTGACTACTGAAGAAAGCAATGTGGTTTTCTAAAGAAAAGGTATTAAATTTTTTTGTCTTATCACCTTGTTTTGAGAGGGACCTTTCCAAAAAGTAATTAGCTGTTCAAGGTTCTTGCTCCCTTCAAGGTCACCTTACAGAAGAACTTCTCATAATAATACCATTAGAGACAAATGTAGCATTTATTCAATCCCTTTTATTTCCTCTCGTTTTATACAGTGAGTTATTTATTTTCTTATTCCCTTTCGTTTGTACTGAATGAACAATGACTGCATCTTTTCTTTTAATGCTCTACAAAAGTATCGTGTTTTTATTTGGATTTGTTTGAAACCTAAATGCACCTGGATGTGTTGCAGTTGCTTTTTTTCTTTACAGTGTTCCTACTGAGTCAGTATTTAGTGCACTAAGGCATTTTGGGTCAAAAGTACAGGAACACTACTGTCATTTTAAGCGATCTGTAGGCCTATGGTTGATGTCTCTACTTGGTCCAAAACACTATTTATGACCCCACAGAGTTCATTTGCAGGTGGGATACTGAGAGAGAAACGTCTCTCCTTAAGGTGCATTGGTAATTTAAGCGATATATCAGCTCATTTAACAAGGCATTTGCTCCAAGAAAATAAACTGTACTGTATTTATGTTACATGACGAGAAATGTTGACTGGATGGGTATGTTTTCCTGTACTGATTGCAATGGTTGTTAGACCAGATATGGTTGTGCACTAATACCATGTATATCCACCATCAATAAACTTCTATGAAGATGGCTGTGATGCTGTTGTGAGTGTCTCGTTAAGCAGTAGAAGTACTGTGCTGCACAAAGTAACACATACACCATAACTTTCTTTTGGATATAAATATATTTTAAAAAACACATGCCATGTTTTATACAATAATAGTTGCCTTATCTGCTTAAAAATACAGACATTTAATAGACAGAAATTTGTTACAAGTTAATATGTAATATATGGGACTCTACAAGAAGAGAAAACAGCTGCTGAACTGAAGGGGGGAGCTGGGAACAGACTACATGCTTCTAGCTTTTGCATTTCTTGTGCACAAACTAACTAATGGCCTATTTTAGAATGATTGTTCTGACTTCTCATGCTGCAGTGCATTCTTGAGATACTTTTTTATTTATTTTTTTTAATGTGGCAGTTACCATTAATCAAAACAACGGCTTAATGTGACAAGAAAAGCTTCTATGTGTTCCAGAGGAGAATAATGTGTATGAGTGGAACTTAGCCATCTGTGGCAGAATGTGCTTTTAACATATCAATCATTATTCAATGATTAAGCAACACAGTGCCATCTATGAGAAACCTGACTTGACACTCTGCCTAAAACAACTCCCCTTACAGGAAAGAGGAGGAAGAAAAAAAAAGGATCTTAAGATAACAAACATTTGACAGGGTTAGCCATTCAAACCTAAAGTGAAAGCAAAACTGTATTTAAGCCCTTTAATATTTCCTGGTCAGGCTTCAGCACTCATTGCAAAGTGCAAGTAAATGTCATAGCATATTCTTTACAATCTACTTGCGTAGAAACATCTGATTAGCTGCACATTGGCAATTTTAAATGAATCTTACAAAATACTTTCTTTTTTGAACACACCTTCAACCGTGTAAGAGCTTCATTGTGCTGTGCTTCATGCACATTGTACAGTCCATGAGACATCCATGTGAATTCTGCATGATAGCAAATGGTATACGTAATACACAGCTGGTCCGAAGCACAGTGTGGGAGAGTCCAGTACGTTGGGTGAGCTTGGAAGTTGGCTTAATAGCTTGTTTTATTGTAGCTTGGAAACTTATCTGAAGAGTCAGTAGTCATATAGCACCCAAAACAGCTGCAAGAGAGATATACTAGTACTTTACAGGAAAGCTTAGATGAAGTGAAAGCTTCTTCTTGCATAATCCCATGAAGGACTGTGTAGTAGTGAGGAACTGGCAGCATGTGCAAGCTTTTTTTTTTTTTGCTTCACTCTGTGCTTGAGTTGGATCTCATAGCTGCTAATAGGCTATTGAGAATCAGATAGCATTCAGTCATGTTAGAAATCATTGCCTGGGCTCTGCAAAGTTTTCTAGTCTCCTTCCTGCTTTTTCTCTCCTCGGTCCCTCTTTGTCCTGTCGCTGTCCTCTTCTTCAACTTTACTTTGGGTTCTTTAGTCTGGACAATAAAAATCAACACGTGCTTGTTAGTTTTCAGTCACATGACTTGACATTCACATACATACACGAACATTGGTTAGGTATTGATACATCAAAGGTGTTCAGAATGAGAGGCGGGCCTCTCCAGGGCGGTACAAGCTGTCTCAGGAGAGGCTCAGTGAATAGAAGCAAAGAAGTTTTACAATAGTCCTCAAAAGGAAACCACATCAAACAGCTTACATCTTGTATACCTAAAATGCATGTAGTGTTGGTGTCTTTCACTGCCCCTTTGCTCTCTATATGTGACATTGTTCTGCTAAGTAAGTTATTGATATACCTCTGGACGTAATTAGCCACGTCAATCTGATCCTAAACCTACACAATATTTGGCAAGTGGGTTTAATGTTGTGTCAGATTGGTGTATATTATTTGATTAAAGAGATGGTTCAACAACAGTTTTGAGGGAATTTGTGATGTTTTTTCCCCTACTTTCCCTGATTCAGAAACTAATGAATTCTTTTTTCAATGTACTTTGTAAATTTTAAAGTGAAATCAAACTGAAATATTAGGCTGTTTTGGCTCAGTTGTTGAGTTTCTATGTCCACAGATAGCCACGGGAGAGGAGGGGAGCATTTTTTCCAAAGTTTTTCTGAGCTTTGATCAAAGTGCAGTACACGTATGCTTGATCAAGGGATGGCCTTAACACAGTTTATAACCCTGTCATGTTACAAATACTGATTTTCAGCAAATTAGCTCCGGTTCTTGAACTGGTTCCATTCAGAATTCTTGGAACTAATGAACTAGCCCTTGCTTCCATCAGTTTTGAGTGGAACCATTGTAGTCAGTAAAGTCAGATTGTAGTCAGTGGCAAAATGGTGGATCGCATTGATTACCTGCAAGCTTTTTGTCTGTTATAAGATGTTTGTTTTTATCCAAAATCAAGCCAGGATCAACCATTAGTGACAACGTTGCCTTCTCCATCCTTTCTTTCCAACCTGCAGAATAGGACGCGCCCACTGATGCCATTGTGGTGTTTACTTCAGGATGAGCAAAACCTGACATCTTGCAGGAGCAGAATCTGTTCCACGTTGGTGGAAAAGGGATAAATGTAAGCCACTGTTTCAAACCTGTGCAGGTCTGCTTAGGCCTGAGGCTTTAATAAGGCCGTGGTTTTCTCTGCTGCATGACTCAGATGTCAGCAATGAGCCTGAATCATCAAATCTGATCCTGAATCTCCACTTTGAAAAATGATGTCTGGGTGAACTGCAAAGTACACAACTAATCCAGAGGAAAAGAGGGTGTGCTGTCTCACGACATTTTGCGAAGAAACAACAACTATTCAGTATGGCTAGAAAAAAAGCCAGAAAATCTCAAGCTGCAAATACAACCAGAGTGACCAACAAATGCCCAAATCACTACGCTCATTTCTAGTCACTGCTTCTCGATGAATATTTCCTACTACAAGTACATTTTCTACTGTACTGGCTCTGTCTAGCATCAAGCAGACAATTAGTCTTATGTTTGGATACACTCTCAGAGTCGACCAGCTATGTAACCAATCAATGAGTCACCCACTTTCTGGCAGAGGGAAACACTACAGCCTGCCAACATTCCACTGTCTTTGTCAATTAATGTGACACATCTGCAGAGAAACTGAAAGAATGGTTTTTCTTAAGTTGGTCATCTTGTTGCTGCCTGCCAATGTTTTATAAGAAAGATTATCAAAACGAAACCATTGACCCAGAATTTATTAAAGCTAGGATAGGGACATTTACTGGCATCATTGGGCGAAAGTTCCACACGAAGCTTTGGGCATATTGGACCTCAACTGGTCTGAGAGGAAACTAGACTTCTAGCATCTCCTCCTAGCTCAGTTTTCACATTATAGAAAATCTAGCCCAATGACAGGCGATTTTAGCCAATCACAGGGTGTCATCCAGATCAGGTGAGATAGTACAAATAGCAAAAAGAAGTCCATGGTGAAAGCATATAGTAGTGCAAGGGAGAAGGGTTTGAATCCCAGCTGAAGCTCCAAATTGATCTTGACTTTTGAGTCAACTACCATTGAGCATTTGTTTCCAGTTTTCTGCCGACTGCAGCTTTAGCAATAGACCGTACATATACATTAAAACAGTTAATGTGCTTAAACTCACCGGTCTTTCAAGACAACGGCAATGTAATGAGTTCAGGATAGACATGGTTAGTCTCTCTGTGTGGAGAAGTCCTAAATTCTTCATTTTGCAGGTCAATGTGTACAGGGTACTCGCAAGAGTCTGTGGAATAGAAGTATGTAAGTCATTTGCAACATTTCAATAATACAATACATCCCTTCAGTGAGCACAAAAACAGATCCACGTTCAGATGCACAGCTGAGCACTTGGGTCCTGCTTTGCATCATGATGGAGACTGTGTGGGAAGCAGATTGTTGCACAGCTAGGCCACTGTTCATGAGTGAATGTACAATAACTCCCTGACGATTTTAGCCAATCCATCATAAAGGTGTGAAGATATTTTATTTTCTGGTGGTCTGAACCTCCCAACATTCACTCAAGTGTGACAATGTACTTGTTGGAAGAGCCCATCCAGTGTCAGTTTTTGATAATATTTCAAACACAAAATGAAAGACATATACATTAAAAAACGCCAAACTACTGGATAAAAGCAAAAGGTACCATCACTGAGCACTTCATTTGACAACTACAAGACAGTGATTACTCACTACGTTTTCTGACGTGCAGCTAGGAGGCTTGTCCTTTAGTACTGGGCAGGGTACGTTTCGCAGTAAGGTTGTTATACTGTCTCTCTAGAAAGAATGAGAACAAAGCGGTCAATATTAGTGAGAATGTGTCTAACAAACATTTTTTTCATTTTGTCTTCCGCATATGTTTTAGGTAATTTGGGTGTTATTTTAAAGGTGTTTCCTTTTGGTGGCATCTAAAATTGAGATGCACTATGTTTACATTTTAAAAGTCAACACAAACAAAAGAGAACAAAGTTCAGATATTACAGATATTCACTGTAAACCTGTAGGCACATTATATGATAAGCAGTTTCCAAACACCACTTAATCAGTTTCTGAACAACAGGAAATGTGAAATGACAGCTGTGGCATTCCAAGGAATTAACTGTGAGTAAGTGTGACTTTTTTCTGAGAGCAATTTCAAACCAGTAAAGAAGAACTCTGTGAGCTACTGTGTCTCATTTACATATTTTCCGTTCCTGTTGTCAGACAACATGGTGGCTGAAATGCAGCCCTTGAAGACTACATCTACACCAGCAGCCACTTCTGCACTCCAGAACTACTGATTTTATACCTGCACTGTTGTCTGACAAATTTACCGTGTACAAAATCCACACACCTGAACAGCCTGTTTAGATCAGGACTAAAACCAGGAGTAATAATACAGCCATTGCAGTTTTGTGAATGTTCATTAACTTGCTGAAAAGGGGCACACTATGGGACCTTAAAATGTGTCTGTATCTGGCACCAAGCTCCAAAGCAGAAATTCTGACTCCATATGGACCACTTTACTGCCTCGGCTGAAACCAAAAGGTGGCCTTTCTTTTCCCATCAGGGCCCCTCAGCTTTGGAAAACCCTGGATGTGGACATTTAGCCTCACAG